ACCATTGGTTAATATGATTGAAAAAGAGAGAAGAAAATCATAGTATCAAAAATGAAAAGGGTGAATACACCACTAATGAAGATGAAATCAAAGAAATTATTATGTTATTTTGCCCAATTATGTGCTGATAAATTTAACAATGTAAGTGAAATGGAAGAACACTTACAAAAATATAGAATGTTCAGGTTAATAAGAGGAAATAAAATGTCTAGATAAACTTATTTTAGAAAAAAAAATTGAACAGGCCATTAATGAGGTTCCTAAGAAAAAAGCATCGGGACCAGATGGATTTAGAAGTGAATTCCACCAAACATTTAAAGATCAACTACATTTAATATTAAATAAATTATTTGGAATAATAGGCAAAGAAAGAGTCCTACAAAACTCCTTTTTGTGAAATAAATAGGGTGCTGATATCTAAACCAGTAAGAACAAAAACAGAGAAAGAAAATGATAGACCAATTTCATTAATGAATATTGATGCAAAAATCCTAAATAAAGTACTAGTTAGGAGACTACAACAATATATCACAAAAATTATATATTGTGACCAAGTGGGATTTATACTGGGAAGGTAGAGCTGGTACATTATAAGGAAAACCATTAACATAACTGATTATATCAGTAACAAAAGCAACAGAAACCATATGATTATCTCAATAGGTACAGAAAAAGCTTTTGAAAGATACAGCATTCCTTCCTATTTAAAAAAACTGGAGGGCATAGGAATAACTGGAGCTTTCCTTAGAATGATAAGTAGTATCTATCTAAAACTGTCAGTGAGCATTATCTACAATGGGGACAAGCTGGAAGCCTTTCCAGTAAGATCAGGAGTGAAGCAAGGGTGCCCATTATCACCATTATTATTCAATATTGTACTAGAAATGTTAGAAATAGCAACAAGAGAAGAAAAAGAAATTGAAGGAATTAGAATAGGCAATGAGGAAATGACACTATCACTCTTTGTGGGATGATATGATGAATATTTGGAAAATCCTAGAAATTAAGTTAAAATTAGTTGAAACAATGAATGATTTTAGCAGAGTTGGAGAATATAAAATAAAACCACACAAATCATCAGCATTTCTATATATTACCAACAAAGCCCTACAAGAAGAGATAGAGATTAAAGTATCTTAAAATAACCATAGACAATGTAAAACACCTGGGTGTGTGCCTGCTAAGACAAACCTAGAAACTCTATGAACATAATTATAAAATGATTTTTATATAAATAAGGTCAGATTTAAATAATCAGAGAAATATTGTTTATGGATGGGCTGAGCCAATATAATAAAAATGACAATTTTACCTAAACTAATAGGCTTATTCAGTGCAATCCCGATTAAACTATCAAAAATTATTTTATTGAGCTAGAAAAACTAATAACAAAATTCATTTGGAAGAACAAAAAGAATATCAAAGGAATCAATAAAAAAAGTAAACAAAGGAGGACCAGGTTTTAAACCATACTATAAGGCGATAATTATAAAAACAATCTGGTTTTGCAAAGAAATAGAGTGGTGGATCAGTGGAATAGAGTAAGTATACAATATACATCAATAATGATTATAGAAATCTAGTGTTTGATAAATGCAGAGATCTAAACTTTGGGGAGAAGAACTCACTATTTGATAAAAACTGCTGGGAAAAAAGGACAGCAGTCTGGCAAAAACTAGGTATAGACCAATATCTTACATTGTTTACCAAGATAAGGTCAAAATGATACAGGACCTAGTGTGGTGGATAATGAATAATAACAGGAAATAATCCAAGCTATATGATTTACCAGCAAAAAAAGGCATAATAAAAGGGTCAATGGACTTCCCAGTCAGTCCAAAGACTCTGAATATAGAATGAGACAGATTTTTAAGTATCAAAAGCAATTGATCAAATAAGACCAATTAAGTAAAAGAAAACAATAGGATACAAACCAGGATACAAAATTAGATAATCTGATTTCTAATTGGAGGAAAGATTAAGGGCTTTCCAAGTTGGAAAGGGGAAAGAGTGAGTTCTTGTTGTATTGGGAAGACAGTGAGTAGGTTTTGGGGTCTTTTTTTTCTTAAAATCGAGAGGTGCTGATTAATTGCATCCACCCATATTTATTAGACAATAAATGGCTTATGCCATCTAGTTTCCCATGGATGACTTGCAGAAAAACAAGAAGGAGGATAATACATGTAGTAGCACAAGATGGAGTCAGTGTTCATGAGGTAGAATCTAATTGGTTTCTCAAGACCCACAACAAACCAACTCTGTTTTGTAGCTGGTCTTCACTCCATTTTGTCAACCCAGAGAGGGCCAGTCTGATGTGCCAGACATTGTTATCTTTGCCCTGCCAACACCCAGTGTCTATATGGCATTGGTAGAGAGGCAGGAAAGAAAAGGGGGACCAGAGTTTGGAAACCTAAAGTGAGAAATCTTCCCACAGATCACAAAATAACAAACCTCCACAGAAACATTTTTCTCATTAACTCTTCCTCATTGTTCTCTCCATCAACCTAAAGGACCTTTAGAATTATATATATATATATATCTCCTTGTATTTCATTTTCACATCACTTCTATTTCCATATCTGTTCCTCCCTTTTTGGAAATGGGATCTCTCCACCGTGTTTCCCTTTTCAGTACCCTTCTGAGGGAGCCCTTTCTCTAGAAAGCCAATAAATGAATTTTTCTTTTTGCTAATATCTCTGAATCTCCAATTCATTGATAAGGGTTTCTGTACCCCACACAACCATGTTCTAGTAACAAATTCTAAAACTGAATTGAAGATTTTACATGTAAGATTACATTAATAATTGTAAAGATTTTAAACTTGTCTTTTTTCCTATTATGAAGTCTCTGATAATATTAAGGGACAGAATGGTTCATTTTCCAAGTCAAGTCCTCCTCCTTCAGCCTATGGATGACATTGTTCATGTCAAATACAGGGTCTGCATAAAGATAGAAGGAAAAAGTGCAATGTAAAAACTGTAATTCTTTGAAATTTCAGGTAAATTAAGGGTTTCTAATTTGTTCTTCTTATAGCTCTGTTGTTAATAGGATTAGATCAACAAGGTCTAAACAGGTTTTTGCCATGTGAACTAATTACTGAAAGGTCAATCCAATTAGATTTTTGTCATGTTTTACTAAATTATACTAAGTCTTATCACTAGCAGGTTTTAGCAGCATACCTAGAGAATCTCTACAAGTGACCTGGAACCTGGACAGGGTCTCAGAAATACCTGCACAAAAAAAAAGAAAAAAAGAAATGCCTCCACAAACCCCCTAATCCCTGCACAGATATTTAAGAGATGCATAGGAGATGCTTACCATACTCCTGAAGATCATAGACACTGCCAAAGGACTTGAAACCCCTTAGGCTGCAACTATATTTGGTTTCTTTATTCAAACTATTGTAATTTTGCTTGTTTTATTAGTTCTGTGTGTGTTATGGACCTATTACCTATTCTGTAAGCTGCTTATCATTTTTGCTTGAAAGGATACCAATTTGGGAACTATGACCCTTGTGCTGCAAGTTTGCTGGTCATGGTTTGCCCATAGAGTTTATGCAGAGGCCCACCTTGTGGTTTCTAGCTGTCCTTTCTGTCAACAGTTTAACTCCTCATGGAAGACTGTCTCTGCCTTTCTATTCATCTCTCTTATCTTGTTGAGGGGGCTTGCTTTCTTCCCTTCCAAATTCTCTTATTTTTACAGAAGGCATTACCACCCTTCTCACCTCTTCCTCAATTCTCTCTCCTCTCACATCCAATCAGTTGCCATATCTTATAGGTTTTATCTTCCTATCTCTCACATCTAGTTCTTCATGTCCATTCATAGATACCAATTTAGTTCAGGCCCTCTCTACCTCTCACCTCCTAATTGCTTTCTCTGTCTCAAATCTTTCCTCACTCCAATCATCCTATGTACTGTTTCCAAAGTAATTTTCCTTAAAGGAAGATTTAATCATGTGACTCTCCTATTTAATCCATATCATGGTTTGCTATTGCCCCCAGGATAAAATGGAAATTACCCTATTTAGCTTTTAAAGCCCTACACAATCAGTCCCTAATCAGAGTTTGAAGAGAGCTGGCCATTGCTTTGTATGGGCCATCACTAACCAACACTTATTGAGTTTTCCTATGTATTAAGCTGAGGCTGGAGGGGAGAGAGAGGAAGGACATCTGTCCCTGTCCTCCTGGAGCCAGCCCTCCAGTGAAGCAGGAAAGAACAGGCAGGTGGCCATAAAAGGATCTTTATTAGCTATACTTCTTCCTTAGTACAATGAAGGGTTGGACTCTGAGCTCTCCTCTCCTGGACCACCAGACTTTGCGTGAGTCTGAGTTCAGCAGGGTCCAGAGGTATGTGCTTACAGACTGTCCCATAAGGAATCATAAAAATGAAGAATACAGAAATTATCAGATGACTATTGGAAACTGATGTTATATGAAGTAAACAGAAAAGGAAAGTATTATATAACATGACTACAACATTGGAAATGGAAAGAAAAGAAATTAAATTGATGGCTTTGTGATTAATGATCCAGCCAGGTCACAAAAAAGAGAAAGAAAATGTGCTCCTTTCCTTTCTTTGCAGAGAGATAGTGGTCTACGGTTGTGGAATATCACATGCACTGTCAGAAATAATGGCTGATGGTCAAATATCTCAGATGGAACTCATTCAGTAGTATAAGCAAACTTGTAAGTCCCCTCTACTTCAAATGGGAGTTGTCCTAGTTTCTTAAACTTTATTTTAACATTTTATAACATACTATTAGGGCTGATAGGATCTTATGACCCTGTGTGAATAAGAAGTTCTAAAAACTTCACAGATAAGAACAACTCAAGATGTTTTTGCTATTCTCCCTCCCCCAAAGCAAGTTAGTATTATCATCCATTTTAAAGCAAAATGTACCAAATTAAATCTTTACTTCCTTCTCCTTCTTAAGTTCCTTCTTCTTTGATTATTCCTTACCAAAGTGGTTTCTTAAGAATGTCATGGTCTGTGTTTTTTTTTTTTTTTTTTGAGAAATCTAGATTGTATAGACATGATAATGAGGGGCAGTCTTGGCTTGAAAGTCTTGCCTCATAGCACCAATAATCCATTCTTAGGCTCCAGTCCTTCAGGCCTGGTTATTAACATGTGCAGCTGACAAAAATCAAGGGTCCCACATTTATCTAGTCAAATTTGCTTTCCACAATTATCTAAGTGCCAAGTCCAATCATGTGCTTTAAACATTCTCAGTTGAACATGCAATTTTACCTTATCCCAGCTTTTAAGAGTTTGAGATTTACCCTGTTCCAGTCCCATATTGATACTAGTATCATCTTGCCTTGGGGCAACCTAAAGTTGAGTGAGACCATCTACTCACCACTGCCCCATTTCCACAAACATGCAGTTCTTTTTCTTCATGCGCAAAAGATAAAGAACCAGTTTTGAGTTCTAGACCTATTTCTCCTTATCTTTCCTGAGTTCAAGGAGCTTAATTTTCTGACCACTTCATGTCTGACTGATTGCTGGGAGAGTTCACTCTAGCCTGAGATCAGACAAAGGTCTGAGTGTCAGCTGTGCAGGCAGAGTAGACCTAGTGATAGTCATGCTAGCAAATGACCCATCCTGGCTGGCCCATCAAATTGTTAAAAGGAAAATTTTTTGCTCAGGCTGTATGCTGTAATAGGGAAAACTCTGGAAATAAGCAAAAGGAGTTTATTGTACCACACAAAGGCAGTAGTGTTGGGTGTGGCCTGGACCTGAATTCAAACTGTTTCTTCTCAGTGAAATATCAGGCAAGGTTGCCTAGCTATGAGAGCCATGGAAGGTTTGAGAAGGGATAAAAATGTTTGGAATATCCTGTGGGTGACTGGAATAGTGAGTTACTTAGGGAACTTTAAAAGGGCTCTCCTCATCCTCCTCCGCTTCATACTGTTCTTTTAAGGGACAGGCAAGTCCAAGGACAATGGCTCAGGGGAAAAGTCTGTTCAATAGAAAGATTGCTAAATTCACCATAAAATTCTCATCAGAAATATTCCATCCTTTCTCCCCTACCCTAAGGTCCAGTAAAGGGAGTATACAGAGAGACAGACAGACACAAGGAGATAGAAGTGAAGGGTCCCTGTCCACTACAAGCCTTGTTCTATCGAGTCCATCCTCAACCAGAATTTAAGACATTTCCCAGAGTGATTCAGTCTGCAGGCAGTCGGGAGACCAGTCATCCAGGGATCGTCACTAAGCTGGACTAGATTATGCTACAGGGTCAGCCTCTGTGAGTTGGCCAGTCCCTCGAGCCCCCCGGGCCCGAATATCTGTGGCATCATTGAACTGGAGGCTTGTGTTGCTCTGGTGTTTCACTGTCAACAGCTCATCGCTCAGGTCTGGCTCCTCTAGGTCACTCCTCACGTCACTCTTTACCTGAGAATCATAGGGACAATTCATCAATAAGCATCTTTTAAACCCCTGTCATGCACTAATTACCGTACAAAGCAAAGGAGGAACCAAGACTAAAATGCAACAGGCCTTGCCCTCAAGGAGCTTCCATTCTATTAGGGAGAAATAGCCTGCACTTCTAAAATTATATATAGAATATATGCAAAATAAATAGACAAGGATATTTTGGGATGGGTGGCAGTAGAAGGTGGGGGTAGGGAGGAAATCAGGAAATGCCTAATTTAGGTGATACTTGAGTTGAGTCTTAGAGGAAATTAGGAATTCTAAGAAGTAGATGTGAGGGGGGCTGACATTTCAGGCATGGAGGGACAAAAGGTGCAAAGACACAAAGAGGGGACATGGAGCACCCTGGGTGAGGGATAGCAAGAAGGCCAGTTTGACCAGACAGAATCGTGAGTAAAGCAATGGCAGCAATGTATAGTAAGGCCAGAAAAGTAGACTGGGGCTGAGTGGTGCAAGGTTATAAAGGATAAATAAAGTCTATACTTTCTTTTGGTGGTAATAGGGAGCTACTGGGATGGCCACTGTTACCTTGTCATTGATGCTGCCTGCTGTTTCACCCTCTGGATCACCAGACCTTGCATTTGCCCTAGCACTGTGTGAACCCTAAAACCCCCTTTTGCTAATTTCCAGCTTTGAAATATGCATCAACATTCCATTACTACAGGAAAGGGCATGTTGATAGAATACGACTCCCTTTACAATCCCAATGGATTCCCAAATGAGGCAATGTTTGTAAAATGCTTTGCAAACCTTAAATCACTACATAAATGCTAGCTATTCTCAAACCAAAATAAACCTCTCCAGCCCACTGCTCTCTATATGTTGTCTCCCCTTCTTAAGGGTACAGTTTCAATTTTTTTTACTGGTATTTCTGGAGCTTAGTACAATGTTAAGGCTTTTAATACGTGTTTTTTCATTCATTCATTCATTGGGGAGGAGAGTTTATTCTTTACTCAGTGAATGAATTTATCACCCAATCTAGGTGCTAATGGCTACTGTCAATCAACAACCAGAGTATTCTTCCTTCTTTCCTCAATGAGTTCTGTGTCTAGCTTACAGTGTTTCTTAACCCCACCCAAAACTCCTACTCTCATACTAGGGGTCTTCAATATACCCGCTGATACTCCCTTAAATACTCTAACTTTCTAACTCAACTACACAACTCCAGTGACTTATGCCTTCTCTCCACCTCAGCCACACATAGAAATGATCATACCCTTCAGTTTGCTATCACTCACAAATATTCCACTTTCATGTACATAAACTCTGAGATTCTCTTATCTAACCAAAATCTTTTATCATTCCATTCTTCTCTCTGCTTTACAATGCCCAACCTTATTCTTCTTCGTGGTGACCCTCCTCCCCACCCCACATTCCTTGGTTCTTTATCAGGTTATCACCCCTGCACTGGCTACATTCTCCTTCTTTTCCTGTCTTGACTCAGTCCAACTGGATGGTATCCTCTCCATTTTAATCTCTTGCCTCTTTATCCTATTAGCTATCATACTTTCCCAAACCCGAACCTTGGATTACTCCCAACATCCATCTCCTTTGTTCTTATTCATCTGCTATTGACTGGAGGTCAAGAAAAATCAAAGGACCATAATAACTGAGCTCCCCTACAAATTTATGGTACACATCATCAACTGAGTTCTCACTGAAGAAGAGAATCTGTTTACACCTTCCTAATTGATTTGCTAGACCACTTACCACAATGGAAATTTTAAACATTTTATCCCTCCTCAAGATTCCCATGGTATTCTTCCCTTTACTTTCTCAGCTGAGTACCTTACCTCCACCTCCTACTTCACTGAAACAATTGAAGTCATGCAATGAGAGCTCCCTCATCCCCCCTTCTCCTCTTCTCACATCACTCGGGCATCTTCTCCCACATTTCCTCCTTCACCATTTTCTCACATAAAAAAGGTGGCCTTCCTCCTTGCCAAGGCAAATTCCTTGATATACACCCTTGATCTCATCTCTTCCCATCTTCTTTGGCATGCTGTCCTCTCTCTCTATCATTCCCTTTCTCTGTGGTCTAACCTGTGTTTTGGGAAAACCACTTCTCAGTAGTGTGAAGAATGATGGGTGTGTGAATAGAGAAGGGATTAGAAGGGTGAGATATTGTGGGAGTAGAAGTGATAATATTTGGCATCTGACTGAGTATGTAAGGTGAGAGAGTGGAAAAGAAGGATGGACAGAGATGAGGTGAAAGAAATGAGAGAGAGAGAGAGAGAGAGAGAAAGAGAAAGAGAGAGAGAGAGAGAGATTGATTGATTGATTGATTGATTGAGATTGGAAAGACAAGGACACTGGATAAGATGTCTTGTTGGTAGTATTTGGGTGCCTATTGGTACTAGGATGCTAGGCCTGAGTTTCCATGCCCCACTTTCACCTCCAGTACTCCTCTTTCCTTACTTTCTCCTTTGCTGATGGACAGGGATTGGGGGTAGGGTGAGTGGGCCAGGATAAGTTTTGTACTTACTTGGCCCTCTGATAAAAACTTATAGATCACTTTGAGGATGAGGAAAAACCAGAAGAGATTAAGACTCTGTGTAACCATCAGGAGGGAATTGGAAAAGTAATATCCAAAGAAGAACTGGTTGTTGGTCTGGAAAACATAGTAGAAATTGTAGATGACTCTGTAAGAGAGAGAGAAACTGGGGGTCACAATGTGGGAAGGGAGGAGGCAGGCTGCCAGGGCTCAGATGCCTTGATCATCAGAAACAACCTTGTTATCCCCCCAAAAATGGGAGGGACACAGTAAAAGCCACAGGGATCCTCAAAGGATCCCTGGCTTGACCTTATGTCATCTTTTGCACACACAGAAGGACTTGTCAAGCAGGAGGCTCACTCCTCTTTCTAGGAGGCAGCTCTTGGCAGCAAAAGGTCCCTAGGACTCAGAACATTTTCCTCCTCCCTGCCCTCACCCCACCCCACCTCCTAGGACTCAACTCACTTGGTTGGGAAGAAAATGAGTCTGCTAACAAAGAACACCAGGCCAAAGAGGATGAATATGATGTTCTGAGCTTGCTTCCACTTTGCATAAGCTATCATCTTACTAGTCTGGAAGGAGACAAAAGAGAGAATTTTGGTAACACATAAACCCAGAGTTGGGAGGGAGCCCCGGAGGGTATCTAGTACAACCTACGCTTGTCCAAGAGTCCCCCTAGACAAGCCATCATTTCACCTGAAGGCCTATGATGATGGGGAACTCATATCTTACAGACCATACATTCTACTTCCAGAGAGCTGTGTACCTTGGGAAGCTTTATCTTATATGCAGATTCCCTTTGGAGGCTGGGCTGAGTTCCAGGCCATTGACCAGTGAGAAATAGCTCAACCCCATCCTTCTTATTTTGCAAAAGACAGAGCTAGTCATAGGATCAACACACATGGATGGGTTGTAATATTCATTGTAGATCTCATCCCCCTCAAATCCACCCCTCTCTGGAACTTCTCCATCTCTCTCAAAGGCACCATATCTCTAATCACTAGATTTGAAACCTTACTGTCATCTCTGACTCCTCACTTTTGCCACCTCTCCCACCCTGTCCCATACACATTTTCACAATATCTCTCATCTCTATCTTTTTATCTCCAGTTACACAGCCGCCAGAATTAGGGCTAGTTCCTGTTGCCTGGATTATTGTAAGCAGCCTCCTAGTTGGACTCCCTGCCTCAAGTCTCTCCCTATTCCAGTCCCTTCTCCACTCAGCTGCCAAAGTAGTCTTCCTAAGCTACAGGTCCACTGTCCATCAATCCACTGCTCAAAAAATTCCAGTGGCTCCCTATAATCTCCAGGATCATATATAAATCCCCATGTTTGGCATTCAAAGCCCTTCATGACCTAGCCCCAACTTACCTTTCCAAACTTATTACTTACCTTCCTATACTATTCTCTAACCAAGTCTTGCCTATTTCCAGTTCCTCAAACTCATTCAAAAATACAGTTAATATATCCAAACAACGATAATGGATAGTATGTATGTTTTGTTGTTCTTTAGTTGTTTCAGTCATGTCTGATTCTCCATGACCCCATTTGAGGTTTTCTTGGCAAAGATACTGGAGTATGAGGATGATGAGGATGAGGAAACTGAGGCAAACCACCTTAAGTGACTGACATTTAGCAGGCACTTAATAGATGTTTGTTGATTGATTGATTCGTGTCTGGATTAACTGTTACCTCCCCTGTTTTGGTGACTGGGTCTTTCTGAATGCAGCCCAAACTGCATTAACTTTTATGGCTGCCAGTGTCATCCCCTGAACTCCCATTGTGCTTTTTATCCACTAACCCTGCAGGGCTTTTCCAAAGAAAGCATTGTTCAGACACACTTTGCTATTTTCTTCTTGCAAAGTTGACTCCCCCCCCCCATCTCAGCCATAGCCCTTTGCTTTGTGCATCCTTTGTCCTAGAGCAGGATCTTTTGGGACCTTGGTGGAATTCAACCCATTGCTTCCGGCCTTCCTCACTTTCTGCCATAAGCACATTAGCAAAGTCACCATTGATTCTGCTAGCCAAATTATTCAGGGCCTCTGTGACCTGGGTAGGTCTACAGAGTTATGCTCAGCTTACCCAACTTTCCTCCTCTTTCAGCTCTATCCCCTGGCCAGACTTATATATCTTTCTTTCTCACCCTGCCTCCCCATGACTTCTGCCAAGACTTGACTATAGAGGGAAAAATCAAAGAATGCTGGCCTGGAAAAGCCCACGCAGAGGCACCAGCTGTCCCCATAGGAAGGCTAGGCGGGAGGCCTGATGACTGTACTGCTGTGTGAACCCCTCACAGGTAGAACTGGTGCTTGACAATTTTTTTTTTTTTACTGAGGGACATCGAGTATGTCAGAATGATATAGCATGACAGAGATGTTGACTGTCCACAGAATCAGAAAGATAGACTTGGGATAGAACCTTGTTCCCTGAAGTAGGCCATGAAAACATCTGTGTCAACTCTCCTTTGGGACCCTTCACTGTCAGGTTCTTTGCCAACACTTTTGCTCCCTTGGACCTCCAGCAAGGTTGGGGAAAAGATTTCTCTACTATCCATCCCTCTGCAGGGCAGGTCATAGACCAGTGATCCTGAGAAATAGTTATTTCCGCCCTTGGTGGTAACCTTATAGGAAAAGAGTTCCAGTGTTCTGAATTCAGATATCAACTTACCAGAAGGAGAAGAGTTTCTCAGAGAAGATAATCATTCCTATAATAGTCCTGTAGCTGAAGAACCAAAGTAATCCATTCCCTGGCTGGTTAGGAGATCTGGATCTTGACAGTGAAAGCCTGGGGTCACTGTGAAATATTTGTCCCATTGTACCACAAAGGGCTTGTGCCTTTCAGGAGGAGTAAAATGGATGTAGAGAGCTAATGGTGATGTTTTATGTTTCTGTATGGTCAATGCTGCTATAATGTGGCTTTTGAAAATGAGAATTTGTTCCAACATGATTGCTATATTAGGGAATTCTTTGAGCAGAGCAGGAATTTCAAGTTTGCTTCTACTCAATTTTTTCTGCAAGGAATAGAGAAAGTGCTCAGAAAATGGCACCACTTCACAGTAACTGAGAAACTGCAGCCCAGGTTCTTGATATCTCCTCCACAATTGACCTTCAGGTCTTTGTCAAGGTAAAGTGTCATTGTGTATCTTCTAGTACAGCTGGAGCTAAGAGCAGAGAAAGGCTCGTCTATACCACTTCCACCTTTGCCCCTATTCCCTTCTGCTGTGGCCGCATGCCAACCTGTTTGTGCACCTGGGCCCTAGATGGAGTAGCAACCCACAGCCAAGTGCACAGCTTCCATTTGTTGTACTATTTATGAATTTCTTAACCATTTAATATATGTAAAACTGTATATGCTTTTTTAAAATTAGGTTCCTACTTTTTTTTTCTGGTGTGTCACTGATAAAGTTTTTGAGTTTTGTGCCTTGAGCCTCATTATCCTCATAAATGGTGTTTTTTCATTGGTGATTTTGAAAGGCACTGTGTTTCTTGGGAATGCTTATGTCACATTATTGCAGAATGACTGTATTTGCTAATGTACACTTGAAAGTCTTTTGCATCAGATATTCCCTGTGGGGGAAATTAAGAGCTGTCTTATGCCTAATACCTATATTGCATAATGAGAACTTTTTTAAAAAAGGGACCCAGTTAGTGTGCCTCTTCCCCTATTTTGGGGAGACACTAGATGTGAACCATAGCTAAGTTTTATTTTTAGATATTTCCCTGGACTTTTACTCTCTGGTAGGCAGAACTGGGACATCTAGGTGGTGCACTGGATAGACCACAGGGCCTGGAGTCAGGAAGATCAGAGGTAAAATCCAGCCTCCGATACCTACTAGCTGTGTGACCCTGAGCAAGTAACTTAACCCCTATTTGTCTCAGTTCTTCTATGAAATGTGTACACACTAGAGAAAGAAATGGCAAACCACTCCAGTATCTTTGCCAAGAAAACCATGTAAAGTCAAACATGACTGAACAACCAAACAACAACAAAGGGACAGAGCTAGGGAGAGAGAAAGTCTCATCTCTCTCTTTTGGGTCATTCCTCTCCCCAGAGATGGCATCAGGTTCATGTGAGCCTTGAGTCCCTCCTTCTGCTAGGACCTCCTGGGCCACCAAGCATACTGGAATACAATAATGGTGAGGGAATTTAGGGACAGCTTTGTTCCCTTCTCCAAGGCTGTGGCCTCTGCACACATGAGGCTTGCAGGGACTCAGGTGGATCCTAGCTATATTCCTCCAGGCTGGACTCACTCACCTCCAGAAAGATATCTGACACATCATGTAACAGCATCACCAGAACACCAATGTGCACCAGGTTGGCAGAATAAGAGTAGAAGATCAAAGTGACAGTCACAAAATGATGGATGACATATCCATAGAAGTCCTGGGAAGAGAAGGGTAGCCATGAGGACCTTGCTTACTTCCCAGAGGATGTAGCTCACTTTGCCCATATTCAGGGTTACACTGTGACCCACAGTCTAGGTATACTTTTCCTCCCACCTCTTCTGCCCTGATTATGTGACAGTCTTCTCAGGGAAAGTTCCAGCCTGTTAAGAGGAGGAAGAGATTGAAGTGAGGTACAAGGAGAAGATGAAGAAGGAGAGTCAAATGGCTGACAGTATGTTGGAGGGAGAGCTGCTGATTGGGTTGGAAATGGACCTAGTGGTAGGAGCTCCAGAGAAAGCATCTTTGTTATTGAATTGAACAGAATGGAGTTGGCTCCTTAGCTTCTGGCCTCCTTACTCAATCTTTAACAGAATTTACCAAGTTCAAGTGGACCAGGTCTGCCCTTA